GGAAGTCTGAACCACCCGTTGTGTTTTGATTAAGTTTCTTCATACAGAAAGTTTCTGTGTCTTCTGCATCATAACCTCACACTCCTATCCAATTTAGTAAGAGCTTCAGGAAAGCTATTTATTATACTTTTTCATATCTTCCAATTTTTCACTTTAATATAAATGTTTGGAATTTCCTAGGTCTCAACCTTTTCAGTGTCACAGATTTGGCACTAAGTTCTCCCCTTCCGTGTTAACTTTGTATCATTGTAATAAATTCCTTGGATAACCAATTATAAAATAAAAGGTCTATTTTGACTCATGTTTTTGGAGGGTTCTGTCCATAGTAGATTTGCCTCATTACTTTTGATTGTTTGTCAAGGCGGCACTTCCTGTTGAGAAAACAGAATAAGGATATGGAATTCATGACCTGAAATTGAGAGGAAGACCCAAGAGTTGTAGCAACTCCTCAAGTGTATGCTCTGAGCTCCAATATTCATCAATTCCTCATTGAGAGGAAATTCTTACTGTGTTTTATTTTCTCCCATTAGTCCCAACGTATTTATTTGGAATTTCTTTGCTTTTACTGTTTCCTCATACTCTAGGAATGGAACAAACAAGCTCATTCAAAATTGATAACACTATCCCACATATCCTCATGTTCCAAATGTCTAATAACTTCAATAAGTATAGCAAAGAAAAAAAACCAACTCAGGGCACTGAAGGCTCCCAATTATCCAGTTTTCTTCCCTTCTATGTTTTTTTTATTCTGTAGTAATTTGTTCACAAATTAATACATTTAGCATATGCTTAAAACCTAGCTGTACAATATTGTTTCATAGAGACAGTAAGCAATGTGTTATTCTTTTTTTTTTAAAAGATTTATTTATTTATTATGTATACAGCATGTATGACTGCAGGCCAGAAGAGGGCACCAGATCTCATTATAGATGGTTGTGAGCAACCATGTGGTTGCTGGGAATTGAACTCAGGACCTCTGGAAGAGCAGTCAGTGCTCTTAACCTCTGAGCCATCTCTCCAGCCTGCAATGTGTTATTCTTATCAATATTTCTCATGGTTTGTTCTCTGATCAAGTTAGTCCACCTAAGTAATATTTTGAATATTAGATAAATAAAGTGAACTTTTAAAAACTGATTTTATTTTAAATTCCAACTTTCTACTTGATATTTTCCTGTATTTGTTTGTTTCTTAAATTGTTTCCTTATTTGTTGATAGAAGGGATGGCCTTGAACTTATGTAGTCAACGATAGCCTTGAACTCCTGATTTTCTGACTCTGTATCCCTAATGTTGGGAGTACAGGCATATACCAACACACCCAGCTTGGTTTTTATTACCCTTTTAACTTTTCATCCAAAACATAATTCTTTATTTTACTTATTAGACTTACTAAATTATATTTTCCCTGTATTAATGAGTGGAAATTATTTAGCTAGTTTCTCAAGCTAAAAGTCAATGTCCATATTGATTCTTTCATTTCTCTTTACTGCTCATGAATAATAAACAAATATTAACACTTTTCTGAGCAATGTCTAACATGACTTCTACTTCCCATCAGGCTCATTTGGAATCCACCATATATCTCCACTCTAACAACTACACAGTCTACTTGTAAGATTCCCTGTTCCTTCCATGATGATCAAGTTCTTTCTTTTATGCTTTTCTTTGTTTACATTGATCTTTGGTGTTTGATGCCTAATCTATGTCTACAACCTCTTCTCAGTTTAAACTATCCTTGACTCTCAACACTCTGGCCAGCTAGTCATCTTCCCAGTCTTTCAAATTTATCAAGATTTTTTCTAGTCAGTGATCTAAATACCTGCAGTTTCCTCCCTTTCCAAGCATCCCCTCATTCATTTCCCTAGTTGATATTTCCATTCTTCAGTTTGCAGGAAGACACCTCAGATATGATGTCATGATATATTCCAGCTCATTTGTAGTCCCTCTGCCTAACTTTTATATTCTCTATAAAGGAACTCCAATTTCCCTCTCATAATGCCTAACAACTATGTTATTTAGTGAACATTGTTTACACATGGTACTGATATTGAACACCTTATTTTCCATCTCTTCTTCTTCCTTCCTCAATGGGACCCCACTATATATCACAGGCTAGCCTCAGCCTATGACCTCCCAAGCTCATCATCACAAATTCTGGGATTATAGGCATGTGTCAACTTATCAGTTAGGAAATATTTTATTAAGCATCTCATCAACCTTTTATACATGTATGAAACTTAAAACTAAACTAGTTGACATAAGTGATTGCTTTCAGATAACTAGAATGTAGAGAGCTGGACTGTCTAATATACACAATGACTACAGCTTTCTGAGACAGTTGTTTCCAAATCAAGTCATTTCACAGTGAAAATACACACATTGTTTGCTTGGTAAGCAGTGGTGTTTTCCTATATAGGCTGGTAGTCTGTAGTTGTAAATGAAGAGTGTATCAGATGAGTGTATTATAAAACTTGTGACGCATTTTTTCTAGTGACAAATGTTTTCTGTTCATGCAGATTCACCCATTTGTGTTGTTTCAATTCTCATTCTTGCTACTATTTAATATTTACTCCTTTAAAACATCTCTTGGAAGAATAATCAAATTTCACTGGTATATCTACTTCTGTTAATATAAAGATGTTATAAATCAGCTACATATTATATCAATAAATTGTTTGGAATTGAAAATGAGATTCTTTTGTGAACCAGAAATGATCGTATAACAGGATTCATTTTATTAAACCTATTTCGTCATCAGGAATACAGAAGTAGCCACTTCTCAATTCATACTAAAGATTAAGGTTAATGTCAGTTAAGTGTTATACAACAGAAACATGGGGATCTGGACAGCTGGTTCAGTAATCAAGAGTTCAATTCCCAGCACCCGTGACAGGCAACTTACAACCTCCTGTAACTCCACACACAGACACATATATAAACACACAACTAAAAACAAAATTAAAAATCTAAAGGCTATGCACCAGAAATGTGTAATGAGAAATTTTAATGTCACATTATTTTTCTATCACTTTTCATACAATCTATTATAAAGCTCAACTTAAGTATTTGAAATTTAAATAATTAAAACAACATAGACATGACAATAATTTTCAAATACGTCCTGAAATGACCTATCTGTCTGTCTGTCTATCTATCTATATTTAATCTATTTATAAATATTCTAGGTGTAGAGATAGGTAGATGAATAGATAAATAGCATAGAAAGCTGTATCAGACAATTTGCTTGAAATTTCCAAATGCCAGTCTTCTTGCTTGTAAAATAATGATGACTTTCTTTTAAGAAAAGAATGTTACGGAGAACTGTCAGTGTGGAAATGTATAAGAAGATCCCACCTTGTTCTCTGTGAACCTGATAAAAAAAAAGTGAATGGATCAATCCCGGTGATGATAAAAAAAAAAAGTCATTATCCCTAGTTGTATATATTACCTTAATTTGACAAGTAGTCACTTCAGAAAAATATAGAATTTCCAATTTTAAAGGAACAACTGATAAGTTAGCATTTGAAAAATTGTTGTTTTAGGCAAAAGAACTACATTCCACCATTATTTTACTCCTTGAAAATGAAACTGAATGTATATGGGATTTGTTAAACCAAAGCAGGAACATTAATCAGAACTCAGATATAATTAATGTATTAGTGAGGGAGCATTTTCTGTTTTCCTTCTTTTCATTTATCCCCTTAATTCAGTCTTAGGTTGGTCCCTATGCCAGATTTTCGTATGCTCTACAATTCTATATTCCTACTTTTCTGGACTTAGAGAATTGCATCAGCTGTAATAGTCTCTCTTACAGGCAGATAAAGCTACAGAGATGATTCCATGCTGACTAAGCTGCAGGGAGTGCTCCCAGTAGGTCCCTCTTGGTAGCCACATCATAGTGACATTTCTGCCAATTACTCTTTAAATAACTGCATGAGGATCCTAATGGGCTCTTCCAGTGAGTGATATCAAAAGATGAACTTGGCAAAAATCTAAAGTAATGTATTTTTGTGGGCTTGAGGCAGCACAAATCTGTGGGTTTATATCTTATAACACTGCTATTAATATCAACCTATGAAAAATGAAACTCCCTGATTCCTGAAGGACATTTTTGTTTTGTTTTGTTTTTGTTGTTGTTATTATTGTTGTGAGATGAGGTTTCTCTGTATAACAGCCCTGGCTGACCTGAAACTCACTCTACAGACCAGGTTGACCTCAGACTCACAGAGATCTACCTGCCTCTGCCTCCCAAGTGCTGGGATTAAAGGTGTGTGCACCACATCCAGACTCCTGAAGGATCTTAACATCATATTCCAAATGCAGCCATATGGCACATGGACATGTTGATAGTCACTACCTTACAATGATACATTTAATTGCTTCCTTTTAATAAAAACTTCTCTCTCCCCCTCCCCCCGTGTGTATATGTGTATGTGTCTGTGTATGTATCTGTATCTGTGTATGTGTGTAATGTGAGTGTCTGTTGATGCGTAGCACATGTGTGAAGGTCAGGGGACAACTTCCTGAAGTTGACTTTTTCCTTCTTTTTCTGTTATATGTCCCAGGGCTAGAACTCAGGTTACCAGCCTTACACAGCAAATGACTTTACGCACTGAGCCAGTTTGCTGACTCTTACATTCATAGTTTTAATAGATCTTTTAAAAAAAATCTTTAAAAAATATTTCTCTTACATAAGTCATTAAAAACTTCTGGAAATATTTAATATTCTCCATAGTTAGTCCCAAATAATTGTCATTTTCACCTAAAGTAGCTTATGTCCATAGTTTCTAAGGAGAAAGCCAGGGGCAAATTAAAACCATGTAAATGATGACACACGATAAGCATGATCTTTATGCGAAGCCATGATTTAATTAGAATGAACACAGAAGAAAAACTTTTTCCCAAAGTAGAACAATATCAAGCTTTGCAAAAATACTAAAGTAAGTAATATACATCTCTAAAGCACCAAGAAGTTCAGTGGAAGAAAATTACTATAGAATGAGCATGCATTATAGCCCCATGAAACAAGAGCCCTCCCTGTGATGCTGGCTGATCTCTCTCGAAGTTAGAAGCATGAGGTTGTTTCAGCTACTCATGAATTTCTTCAGTAAGGACAATGCCAACCACCCAAGTAAGAGGAGTATCGTTGGAACCTGCCATATGTACAGTTTGTGGGCTTGTAGTAGTCAGACTTGCAGCTAAAAGGCTGGCATCCATAGGTCAGGTTTCTCAGTGTTGGACAACCATAGGGAAGATAGCTCAGTGGTTGACGACCATAGGTCAGGTAGCCTAAGGGTTGATAGCCATAAGACTGGTAACTTGGATGGAAGCAGCTCAAAGGTCGTCTACAGGATGTTGGACGGCCAACGCTGGAATTGCAGGATGTGACAGGAAGGCAGCTGTTTCCTTCCTGGGATCCAGATATCCCTGAAGTAACTGGAGATCCGACTGAAGGGCTGCCAGTGTTCCTGATGCAGCTGGTTGATTGTCCACTCCCATGTTCACCGCAGGGCTCGTGGCAGTTGTCACATGATGTATTGCTGCCCAGGCTGCTAGTAGGAGAGCAAGGGGCATTTCTACACCTCATCTCAGTGGAGCAAAGACCTACGGGTGAGGTGGCAGGAACGTGACTAGAGTTCCTAGGAGAAGAAGAGCTACAGACTTCTGAGCGGCAGTTATTAGACATGATAGCAATAGAAAGATCGACAACCAGGCCTCGATTCAACTGCAGAGAACAAGTTGCTGAAGTTCGTTTGTTACCTGCTAGACTTCTTTATATACCCTGGGTGCTGGGTGTTGGTTCTGTCTATAGTCCATCTTCCTGGCATCTCATTAGAATATTATTTAGTTGCCTTCTAAGCAATCCTCCCACTAACTCATAAAAGATACATCATCAGTATCACATCTTTCAAATGACTGTCATTTCAAAATCAATTTAGTCCTCAACTAATTTCTAACTAGAAGCAATTTTCCTTTAACAGTCTTAACAGCTTTTTAAAGTTACTGTTAAAAACCACCAGTGCCTCTATATAATTGGTGATAATTTACTTAAAGTCACTTACTAATAAAATGAAAAAGAATATATCTTAACGTTTAAAGTATTAATAAAGTATTGGAGAAGTGATAAATAAAATTGAGAAAATTGATCTCAGACACATAATACTTCTTTGGAGAATTAACCTGAATTTAAAACCCACATGGCCACTGGGAAGCCTGATGATACTATTTTCCAGTGTATCTTTCCCAGTAAGGAATGGTGACCTGAAAATCCTAGGTAATTTTTATGAAGATCCACACCCAAAGAGTATGTGTCACTGTTCTGTCTTTTATTAGAATGAAACTGGAGGTGTTAGCACACATATTTGACAGATGCTGTGTACCAAGAAAGAAGCCACATTTCCTTAGAGGCATGCCTATGTGAGTTTACAGAATGATACTGTAAATAAAAAGTGTGCCTTATTTCTAGCCAGTTTTCCAACGAGTGTCTTCTTATACACTAAGTATTTTTAAATAGCTCATGTTTTCCATATTGTTTATCAGAGAAAGGCAATTTAGTTTCTTTTTCCTGGTGAACATCTAGAGTCACAATGTATGGTTGGAAAGGAAGTGAAAATTCCCGGTCTAGTCTGCCTATCAAAATCATGTTTGTAGCTTAGTTACATTACTGTACCCTACCACTCAATCTAGGCCACACCATTTAGATAAATGGCCTCTCTTAGTGTTCCTTGAAGAGCTTAAATTCAGGAGAGTGCTTGCTTACATCATATGCCTCTAGAAACATGTTCTTATTGGTACCTGTTGGGGTGGGAAAATAATAGACCTTAGCTAGTTTTCTTAGTCCCTAGATTTCAGTTTTACCTTCCTGAAGCAACAACAGCCAACATTTTTGGCCAGAGAAAATATAACCAGAACTAGTACATTATTCAATTATTATATTCTGAGGTGCAACATTTTTAAGTTTTAATTCTTTCATATAAAAGCATGATCACATTTCAAACAAGCTCACCAGTACTTTAGGATTTAATGAAAAAAACCTGGGTGGAAAGTTTGGGCCATTATCTACCCAGGAAGTCCTCATCAGAGTTGGCTACAAGCTTGACCTGAAGCATAGCAATTCAATGTAGTCAGCATTGAGCCTTGTTTCAGATATTTTCATAGATGGCTATGGTAAGCATCACTATGAGGGCAAAAACTGTCCTCTTTTACTGAGGAAGAACATTCTTTTGCCATGAGAACACTCATAGCTAAACTTTTCTTGTTAGAAATTCTGAAAGTCTCTCAGGGCTTACTCATTGGAATTTAGTCATTCTAAAGGCATCTTTTCTATTGGCAACACCAGGAAGCATCCACACTGGCGTTGTGTTTACATCTGTTCTGGGTGTGTATTTCAGCAGTCCCATTTATTTAAATCCTTTTAATACTGGGAATACTATAAACACACATTTTATATTCTTCAATAAACCAAAAATGGATTGAGTCAGGTTATAATTCTGTTTATTGAATAAGGAGACGGCTAACTAACAACATACCTTCCCTTCCCTGCATTGGATCTTGGAGATTTTTTAAAATCATGTTTATTGTTTGAGAATTTCATACATGCATATCACGTATTTTAATTAAGTCCAGTCCACAACCTCCCCTCCAATATGTACTCTAGTCTCCCCAGCTCCTTTATTGTCCCAACTCCAGGTGCTTTGTTTTGAAACCTACTGATTCCATTCAGTGCTGCCTATGTACTCATGGATATAGGACCATCTATCTATTGGATTATGTGTAGACGCCCCCGCCCCAACCGAACTCTTATTCTAACAGTAGCCATCGGTTTTCAACAGCTCCTCAACTAGAAGTGAGACATATTTTCTTTTTTTTCCTCCCAATGGTCAACTGACTATTTTATCTAGAAAACAGCTACTGCAAGCCGTACATATTTCCCAGTTCCATAAAGCTGTCTGATACATAAGCCACATATCAGCTAAATCCTCAGATGTGGGTTTCTCCACATGAGATGTGGTTTTGCTTGCTCAATTTATCAGTAATTAATTAAACACGGAGTTATGCTTAAACATGTCATATTGGATAGAGGATATCCTGGATTACCATACCCCGTAGCTACATCCGCCATTGGAGACCCATGGCATAATTAGCTGGACATTACTGTTAATAAGATAAATTAATCCCTTCTGTCATTCACTGAGTACACAAGTGTATGCTTGATGGGGTAAATAATGGGAATTTATCTATGAGGTACTGTATTTTTAAATACTTTTATAGAAAAACTGTGTCCTGAATATCAAAGTAGGAGAAATGTTACCACCTCTGCCCCCTGAACCCAGCATAAGTGAAAACAGGAAACAAACAAACACAAACTCCTCACAGTTCTCATGGCCTTCTAAAGATCAGTCCACTTACACGGTGATTAATTTGCTTTGTGTGCATCAATCGGGACAGATGTTGAAGTTTATGTAGAAGATGGGGGGGGGCTAGATTTACTTTTCTTTAGGATGAGAATTTTCAAGCTCTTAGAACCAAATTAAATAAAAGAAGACTAGTGAAGAAGAAACACAGAGGCTGGTAAGAGAAAGGCACACGGTTTGTATATTTGACCCTCCAGCTTTAACAACCTTGACAGTCAAGTAACATTAACTCTTTTAGGGGGAGGGCAATGGCATGCTACATATAGCCTCTGGGTAGGTGTTAGTGAGCAAGTCACAGCAGGAATAGCAGGCACATAGGGTCAAAATTCCCAGAGGATCAGAAGAAACAAGATGGCATAGTTTTCACAGGCTGTGGGGGTGGCAGGGATCACAGTCAGTGATAGCCAACAGTAAGAGGAACTTACAGTTCTACCTCCAACAGCAGCCCTATTGGGATTTTTACACCATGCATTTGGAAAGCTAGTAGGTACTCCTACGAATGAATATATTGTTTCCCTTTATTTTTCTATCTGAATGTAGTTTTTCTGTCTTTATTAGTCTTTCCCTCCACTGTATGTTCTAGTGATGAGATTGACTGAGTTTCCCACCTCAATCATTGTAGTTTTATTTATGTAAGTTTGATCTGGGCCTCTCTTTTTAATCTTTCATATCTCTATTTACCATGAATATGCTGACTCTGTGAGCATATAAGCACGGTTAAACTTACTGTTATAATGTTTTTCCTAGCTAGCTTTAGCATTGGAATAATTTGTCCTCTGGTTTTGATCGACTTGTGTTTCTGTACAGTATGAGTCTTATTTCAGTGTTTCTTTCCATGCTTTGGAAACATCAATTGGATGCCAGATGCTGTTAGTTAACATTTTGTCTGGGGCATATTTTTTGTGTTCCTATAAACATTCCCCAGCTTTGTTCTGGGGCAAAGGTGATTTACATGGAAACAGTTTGATCCTTTGGAGTGTTGCTTGAATGGAACATTAAGTGAAATTCAAGCAGTACTTAATCTCTGATTATTTTTGCCTAAGCAAAACATCCCTTTGATTCCTCTGCCAATTTTCTGCTCTATCTGGAGGGAAACTACGTGATGCCCAGACACTGAGCTATGAGTTTCTTTGATAATTGTATCAGGCAGCTCTTCTCCAACTTCATGAGTTTCCTTCACCTGCATGGATTGATCATTAAGCTGTAGAGACTTTCATGAGCGTTGCAGATCCTTGCAACTCTCCCCACATCCATCTGCAACTCTCCAGGCTGTGACCCTTCACCTCCCCTTTGCTGGAGAGCTTGAAAAGATCCATGTTTCCTGTACTTTGCTCAGTTTTATGATTATTTCAACACACAAATTCACCTACTATTCCATTTTATCTAGAAGAAATCCAGATCAATTAATTTGAATCTCTACTTTCATATGGGCAAATATCTGTATGAGAAAGAAAACCAATTCATCCTATTATTGGAGATAATTGAATACAAGTCCAATACTTATACCAACATTTCTTTTTAATACAAAGACATACTTTATGCCCAATAATTACTATTTGCATTTTAAGTCTCTTTTCCCAGTTATATTTGTGTAGAGAACAGTTTATAAGGATACTTTTAATGGATGGTAAACCACTTTAAAGCCAATAAGCTCATTATTTTAACTTTTCTTATACAAATATATGCATATATATTTATTTATTTATAAATTATTATTTTTTTCCGTGGACTCTGAGAAAGACCTCACCTAAAACCTTATGAAGTCAGCATAGTATATAAAGACTAACTCATAAGAAATCTACATTGGTTCACTAATTATGACCAGTATCAATACCAATATAAGCCACTACTAATAGAGGCAAATTAAATAAAAATCTATATTACTTTCATGAGCTTCCTATAAATCTGAAACAATTGTTAAAAAAAATATTTAAGTGTGGACAATGGACTAACATTTTGCTATTAGTAAATAAAAAAGATTTGTTTATTTAGCATCTTTATAGTTTCTCCAACTATGACTTAATAAGTTACAGTTTTCTACACTTTTGTGTTTTGTTTTTGTTTTGTTTTGATATAGCCAAGGCTGGGCTGAAATTCGCTATCTACCCAAGGTTGACCTTGAACTTCTGATCTTTCAGCTTCCAGTTTCCAGGTACTGGGATTACCGGTGTTGCAGCACCATGCCCAGTTTACAAATGTACTAGGAAAGTACACTAACAACTAACCTGTATCCCCATCTGCTAAGCTACAATTCAATAATAATACGTTTCAA